TCCTCTCCCGTATCTTAGCAAGTTTGTATACCCTCTTCTCTCCCTCCTTACTATCTAGTCTAGTGTATAGGTCATCATAAACTTTCAACTTAGTCTCTCTCACTACTTTCTTGACTTCCTTATTAGACAATCTATAGCTCTTAAGGTTTTCCTCAGTTCTATCCTTCTGCCACTTTTTAAAGCACTCTTTTTTTGCCTTAACTACCGCTTGGACCTCTTCTCTCCACCACCAATGGGTCCCGTTCCTTTCGACTCTCCAAGCACTTCCCTTGAGATTCTCCTCATACAATTGGCCATCGAATTCCATATAGTGTTAGCATCACCTTCAAAGTCCCAAGTACCTTCCTTATTCATTCGATTCTTAAATATTTCTAATTTTTCGCCTTTTAAGTCCCACCATCTTGTCCTACGATGCCCACCATCCTTCCTAACTTGGTATTGCCCTCTAAAACATAAATCTAGTACCAAAATCCTATGTTGAGAGACCAAACTCTCACTAGGAATCACCTTACAATCATTGCATTTTAGGCAGTCCACTTTTCTCACTAAGAAATAATCTATTTGGCTCTTAACTAATCCACTCTTAAAGGTTATCAAATGCTCCTCCCTCTTCTTATACATAGTATTGGCCACCACCAGGTCAGAAGCCAATGCAAAATCTAAGATTCTCTCTCCAGCCTCATTTCTGTCACCAAAACCGTATCCACCATGCACCCTTTCATAACCTAATTTATCTATGCCCACATGGCCATTAAAATCTCCACCTATAACCAGGTTCTCTCCTACGGGTATCTCCTGTAAGATCTCATCCATTTGCTCCCAAAAATCTCTCTTAGTCTGATCATCTAACCCTACTTGAGGGGCGTAAGCGCTAATAATATTCACTATATTCCCCCAAATAACTAGTTTAATTAGCATAATTCTATCTCCTTTCCTAGTGACCGCCACCACACTTTCCACAAGACCCTTGGCAATTATGATTCCTACCCCATTTCTGCGTCTATCCTTACCACTATAATAAAGTTTAAAACCAGTATCCTCAATTTCCCTAGCTTTCTCTCCCGTCCACTTAGTTTCTTGTATGCAAGCTATACTAACTCTTCTCCTAATCATAACATCTACCAATTCCATCGTCCTACCAGTTAAGGTTCCTATGTTCCAAGTGGTTATCCTAAACCTATAGTCTTGGACTAGCTTCTTTACCCGCGCTCGTCCAGAGAATCATGGAAACCGTTGCCCATTTTTCACCGCACCCAGGCGTCGATGCGGCGCCCCTTGCTCATTTTTCGAAACACCCGGAGGCAGGCGCAACGCGTAACTTGAGGGGAACGACCTAGCATTTAAACGATTCAAAGTAGGATTCATTTTCATAAGGGATCCGAGCGGCTTTTTTACGTGTTGGCTGTCGGCTACCTAACACACAACCCTCTTCCTTAACCTGGGCTTGGGACCGGCGGAGTTGTTAACAACCCCGGCGGAGTTATACGGCGGGGATACGTTCATAAAAAATATTTTTCTTCACAATTTTTTGTAAAGTAGCATACACAAAAATAAAACAGAGACATTAATGTAGCATCACCCATAACAACCATAATGCATCACCCATAACAAAAAATTTATCAATTCAATTAAATTTCAACAATTTCAACAATATAATATCACCCATAACAACCATAATGCAATTCAATCCCATAATTTGAATAATTCAAATTAAGGAGGGAAAAAAATTTACAAAGTTCATTTATTTATCAATAAGTTTATTTATTTATTTATTAATAAGTTTTTTTTACCTTATTTGATTTATTAATAAGTTTACAAAGTTTATAATTTTATAAGTTGACAAAGTTTATTTTTAATAAGTTTATTTATTTATTAATAAGTTTTTTTTTAGGGGAATTGACCAGTAAATCCTATTTTGTGGACTTGTAATCCATAAGGTCCTGAATGTTTTCTTAGTGACTGGATGGTTCCTTAATTTGTTTGTTGACAGTTTTGCCATTGCTAGTATTATTGATTGACATTTGGTGTGGGTTTGTATGGGATAAGGTGAATGGGTGTTTGTGTTCACACTGATCGAAAAAACACATTAATACTGTTTTTAATTTAGTAAGTGTGTAAGACTCAAAACATGAGACGTGGGTTGTGACGTGAACACAAGTAATTTGACATTTTTTTTTTCGGCGTGGATTGTGTCACGTTTCGGCTTTCCATCAGTTTGACCCTTTGTTTTCCAGTTGCCATTTGTGACGAATCGACGTGAACTTCACCGATTCCACCGATTCTCGTTCTCAATCTCACCGATTCTGGTACTGTGGTTCCTCACCGATTCTCAATTCTGGTTCCACAGTTGTGGTTCCATACTGGTTCCACAGTTCTGGTTCCATACATACTCACATAACAAGAACAAACAAATTAATAGAAATCACAAAAATTAAATAAATCACATATCAAGAAAACACAGTCCAGATCCATGTGTATATCCATAACCATATTTATATGAAAACTGATGAACATCAGAAGATGCTTCACTAATCTCACATCATCCCTTTGGATCATGTGACATGAACATATCGACTTCGAATCGATTCAAACCCTATCAATTCTTTTATGTTTTTGTATATGACTCTCTCACTCATCATCTCTCACTCCTTCGTCTCTCTCTCTCTCTCTCTCTCTCTCTCATCACATCAATTATCAGCTACATGGTGACTGCGACCCCGATCAGGATCCCGATCCCAACCACGCAGAAAGAGGAAAACCATAGTAAAACCCCTGACCCAGAACAACTACAGGACCAACCACCCTCAGATCCTCCTAGCAAAGACGCTTCGATCGACGAATCTAAGACCATCGAAGACTCCCCTGTCATCGAAGCTTCAATCGACGTCAAGAACAACGACGAAAACGATGTTTCCGATACCAAGAAGAAGATCCGCAGGACCGACGTGGTACACCGTCTTGGTACAACGTGGTATTACATATAAAAAAATGAAAACATAAAAGCCCATAATTAATGTGAGCGCATATTTGTCCCCCACGTAACAATATAATTCAAAAAAGGAGTTATCAGTAAGATATCTCTACTATTATGGATTGCCCAATCAAACAAATTATTCATGGGACCAAATGGAATATAATTTCACCATATGGGACTTTCTGATAAATTCCCTTTTTTTTTTTTACCTTATTTGATTTATTAATAAGTTTACAAAGTTTATAATTTTATAAGTTGACAAAGTTTATTTTTAATAAGTTTATTTATTTATTTATTAATAAATTTTTTTACCTTATTTGATTTATTAATAAGTTTACAGAGTTTATAATTTTATAAGTTTACAAAGTTTATTTTTAATAAGTTCATTTATTTATTTGTTTTATCAGGATTCAAGTAATAGTACCGAATACATATACAATTTTTTTTTATATCTTATTTGATTTATTTTATTTTATTTACAGAGTATACATACAAAAAATCAAAAAAAAATAATAAAAATAAATATGCAAAACAGAGACAACATAGATAAGGGAGAGGGAGAGAGAGATTGACCAAGAGGGGGGGAGATGAGATCGAGATCTGTCCATCTCCAACCAGACACAGACAGATCGAGCGAGAGGGAGAGAGAGAGGGTTTGGGAGATCGAGTGAGAGGCAGACAGAGGGAGCGAAAGGGAGAGAGAGAGGGACGAACCTGATCGACGACTGTGGAGCTCCTGTTCGCGAACCTGATCGACGATCATCAAGCTGCTGTTCGAGACGAGAGGCGAGAGACGACGACGAACTCCTCCTCCTCCTTCTTCGCGGCTGCTGTTCGACCTAGGTCAGGTAAGTTTGGTTGATTATTATTATTTTTTTTTGTGTTTTATTTTATCTTATTTTCATATATTTATACTTTGACCCCATTTTAAGTTTTTTAAATTATTTTTTTGCCCCGCCGTATCCATACCGTATCCTGACCATATCCCGACAGCATCCTCGCGTATCCTAGGCGTATCCGAAATTCAAAAATTAAAAAAAAAAATTGGATACTTCATTTCTCGTATCTAATACGTATCCTGCCGTATCGGGCGCGTATCCGTATCCGATATGTATCCGATACGCGTACGGGGCCATTTCGGAGTATCCGTGCTTCATAGATTCAAGAGGAGGAACACCATATTGTACAAGGCACATAAGTCTATAAAATCCGCGGATTGCATTATGTTTGAAATTTTTTTTTTAACATAGAAAGTGGATAGCAAGCCATTAACAGGGGCAGCATTATGCTGTTTCATGTACCTATCAATTTTTAAAGAAGCATCAATTGAAAAGGCCTTATGTTTGCACATCGTAAATTCCAGAGGTGTGCTACCGTACTAGATTACAAGAAAGATAATCAGACAATGCCATCCGAGCGAGGAACAAGAAACAGTCCTGAGGAAATTTTAGGTGTGATAAACGTGAATGTGGTCTCACAGAACTGGTGAGCAAAAATCTAATAATTCATGCCTGCTGCTCTTTTTTTTACCGGGCTTGTGTGCATGTTTATTAGTTAATGAGAGTATGAGTCTTTCTACTATAGGAATACTTGTGTCTGGTTGATCGTTAGTTAGGCTATTGAGATGCTGGAGAGCAATTGAAATGTCATGTAAAGTCTGCAACTTGGTTTATTTAACCTTCTTCTTTTTCTTTTTCTTTTTCATGCAGCCAAGAAGTTTGCCTTCCTGCTGTTTAGCACCCAATCAGTCGTCCTTCGATAGTCAAATCAAACAACAACAATAATGAGAAGAGAGCTGGGACAACAGATAATTATTCTCGTAAATGTCTGTTTAATTATATTTGATAGATTTTTACAGTTATAAATTTTTGAATATTTTGAATTCCTCTATAACTGTGATGCCATATGCCATTTGTCTTAATAATCCTGGTCTTTTTTTATATTCAGAGTTCTAATATTATTTTTAATTATAATAAAAACATGTTGGAATGAGACTAGTATGCTAAGTTGAGAATAAGTTATTCACTGTCATACAAGCATGAACACAATTTTAATTACTGAACAAAAGCTATAATAGTTCAACCATCATGACAACATGTAACTTGGGGAGACAAAGTAGAAGAACCTGAAAATAGATCTATATAATGATGTGTGTAATCACATTTATGCTTTAAAAGAAGGAATATTTAAAACCCCTATGTAGAGCCAGTAAACCACATAGTAGACCTATTTCTTGTTTGTCTTATGATTAGCCACAAGCATCTTCAGCCTTCAGTCGGCGGGCAACCTACCTCAAGGTGGCTTGCTGCTCATCATGAGAACCCTCCCTTTGTCAATTACCGAAATTTTGTCTGATTTTTGAACTGTTGATAGTCGATGAGCTACAACCAGACATGTCCTACCAACCATGGTCTTCTCCAATGCATCTTGCACAAGGTTCTCCATTTTGACATCTAATGCACTTGTTGCTAGTCGAAATTTTGTCTGATTCATGTTCATTACTATTCCGCCAAGTTTCCTGCAGTTGCAGTGCATACCGGAGGTTACCCAACGCATCATCCATCGATTGTCGCTCAATCCCCTCATCACACACGCAATTTTCAGCATTCTTGACATATTCTTTCAAACATTCTGGTGCTATTTTGTCAGTTAGATATGGATCAATGATCTGATCAACGGTGCCCATTTCGATATTAGTTTTGAACCAGCGAACTAAATTCACTTGATCCTCGTCCCGTGAATAGATCATTGGCTTCCTACCACACAATAGTTCAAGTAAGACGACACCAAATGAGTACACATCGGATTTTGTAGTTAATCTAGCGCTGTGAAGGTATTCTGGATCCATATATCCCACGATGCCTGTACTTGGTTCAGTTTTGGGCACCACTTTGGCATTCCAATTCTCGTCCAACAAAATATTGGTCGGATTCAGGTTGCGATGAATGATTGTTTGCCTTGTACCTGCATGGAGGTATTGCAGTCCTCGTGCAACACCAATGCAAATCTCAAGTCGCTTTTCCCAGTTAAGTGAATACTTGTTGGTTTCATAGAGGTGATGGTAGAGAGACCCATGGACCATAAACTCGTAGACAAGGATCACTTCATGCTTATCGATGCAGTATCCAATTAAAGAAACAATATGGCGGTGACGGAGATGGGAGTGCACCTGGATCTGAGCTCTAAATAGGTCCAAGCTCCTCTCTCTTGATGTTCCTTCTTTCAACCTTTTAATTGCCACATGAAGATTCCTGCTGCTAATATGGCCTCTATACACTTTGATGTCACGATTAAATCCGACCACCCTAAGCTCATGAAAATTATTTGTAAGTGCTCGAATCTCTGTCAGAGAGAAACGACGGAATGATTGATTGACACCATCCTCAACTAGATCCCTCCACAACTGCTCTGACACTCCATTCTTAGGACCCCAGTTCTTCCACTTCCTCCACCCAAGATCAATACCTTTAGCCACTACATGTGCAGTACCCAAAAACAGATTGCATATTATTCCCTTTTGTCGAGATAAATGGATATTGCCCTGTGATGCCAATCCATGCTTGAGGCTCCCCACAACTTCACTCATTGTAGGCCTTCCTTTAGGATAATTATGTAAACATTTGTTAGCAACTTCTGCAAACACCTTTAGACAATTTGGTGATATTTGTCCTCTTATAGAGGGATCAATGATCTGGTCAAGGGTTCCCTTTTTGATGCATTTTTGAGCCCATAGGGCTAAACCAATTTGCTCCTCCTCCTCAACACTTGTATCTACCGGTGGCCTCGCACATAACACTTCAAATAGAACCACACCAAAAGCATACACATCTGATTTCTTGGTTAGTCTATGAGTCAAGAAATACTCTGGATCAAAATAACCAAATGTGCCTTTAACAATTGTACTAATGTGAGTTTGTGTATGGGTTGTCCTTACCATTTTAGACAATCCAAAATCTGAAATCTTAGCTACCCAATTCTCGTCCAACAGAATGTTTGTGGTCTTCACGTCCCTGTGTATGACACCTTGCTCGGTATTCGTGTGAAGGTAGTCCAATCCATGGGCAGCATCAATACAAATCTTGAGCCTGTCCTCCCAAGTAAGATGATAAATATCATTCCCTTTTCCTTTCCTACTATTTTCGTAGAGATGATCGGCGAGCGTCCCATTGGCCATGTATTCATAAACGAGTATCATCTCATCGCAATCATCAGAGTAGCCAATCAGAGTCACGAGATGTGTGTGGCGGAGCTTGGAAAGCATCTTGATCTCAGTCCAAAACTCTCCTGCCCCTTGTTTGGACTCTGCATTCGACCGCTTAATGGCGACAGTGGTAGCTCCATCGTCGATGAACCCTTTATACACCTTACCGAATCCGCCTTTCCCAATGACCAAAGCATCATCGAAGTTGTTGGTGGCTGATTGAATCTCAGCAAGTGAAAACCAACGGCACAATTCCACGGATTGATACACATCATTTGTAATTGTATTCCCACTGTCAAAAGTTGACATACTTCTCACATTAGATATGAAATCACTTTTTAAAATGAGATGATGAAGGAAGATAAAGAGTGGAGGGATTAGATACGACAATGAAGATCACAAAAATGAAGAAATGAAACTCAAATTGGCTGCCTCCTCAGGTCAACAATGGTGGGCTCATCAGTAAGGTAAACTGCTAATCACTTTAGAATACTTTAATTGTACGAAGTGTTATTGCTATATTTTTAGCCATGACATTAGACATTTAATAATGACACTAAAATTTTCAACTTAAAACTTAATTTTTTTGGTTCCCAATTGTTTTGTGCCCAAAAGTACATTTGTTAATAATATTTTCAAAATTTTGTTGTTGAAGTTTTTTTTTTCTCCCCTTAATTTAAGTGATTTTTTGAAATAACTTTTTAATGATGACTCACATGATAACATAAAGTGATTTCCTAATATTTTTTCCGTAACAAATTTTTATTTTTATGAAAAATGTTGGTTCCTAAAACAATTTTGTATCCATCAGAAGTAGAAAATACCACAAAATAATAGTCCGAGACTATTTAATATTTTTTTTTATCATATATGTGTGTTGGTTTTGAAAATTCGTTTCTATTATTGATTAATTTTTTACTATATGTGTGTGGGGGAGGCAAGTAGTTTTGGACAAAAGAAGAGGAGCCCCAGCATGCCTAATTAGGGGTTATCAATAGAAAGAGCTGGGCTTATTCAACTCGTAATTATTGTGTCAAAATATTATATATTAATTGAGACTTTTGAGTTTTGACCAGTTAACAGTCTTGTATAGGCCGGACCTATTTAAAATATGAAAATCACATCTCATCAATAAGTCTAATTTTCACTTGTCAAAATCAAACCAAACCGAACTACACATTTTTCATTTACATATTTTTAATATTTTCATTAGTTAATTTTCTTTTCTACCTTCCAACATAATTTTTTTTTTTGTTGGTTTGTTTACCTTTGTACTTTTTTATATCTCATATAATTAAAAAATAATCAAGTAATATAATATAATTTTATTTATAATATCTGCAAGGGATATGATTAGTTGCTGCTATTTTTTATTCCATTCAAATCCTGAAACTCCGTGTATATAATTATAATACACACATGCATATATATATATATATATATAATTATCAATGAATGTTAATGGATTAAATTTGAATTGAACAGTGTTAATTCTTTTTGATACATATTAAAAAAAAAAAATGAACGAAATATTTTGAGGCGGGCTAATGGAATAGTTGGGTTAGAATTACTCATGCGGACTCTTGCGGGTCGGGTTCATAGGCGGGATCAAATTACAAATCTTTATTTTAAAATCCTAAAATATCTTTTATGAGTTGAATACTTAAGCAAACTGGTCAAATCATGAAACCAATTGAGTGATATCAATTTTTTTCATCCGTGAGCCATTTAACAACCCATGTGTGCAAGGATTCTCAAAGCTTCAACCACACTCCAAATGTAACTTTGTTTTCTTCTTCAAGTTTTGTCAACACCCCTCTTACCGGCAACAGCCACACTACCAAACCAACACGTTTCTTGTTATTTTAAGCTTTTGTTTGGGAAGTGGGTTAGTTTTTTTGATTTTTTAGTTTTTTTTGATATTTTAACTTGGAGTTAAAAAGCTTAATTTGAGAAGGACTTTTAGTTTTTTTGATTTTTTTATGAGAGAAAGAATGTAATAATTATGAGTTAGATGTAATGTTTTGTCATATTAAGTTAAAAAGCCTATTTATTTTTTATGACTAAACTAGCCAAAAAAGCATCAACCCATATTTGTAAGGATTCTCAAAGCTTCAACCACACTCCAAATCTGAGTTTGTTTTCTTTTGAGTGTTGTCCACACTCCTCCTACAAGCAACAACCACACTACCAAACCAACATGTTTCTTGTTATTTTAAGGCAGCAACATCTTAATCATCTACTTAACCAAAACATCTTAATCAACTTTTTTTTTTTTTTTTAATCATTCCTATTGATGTATATATTTGCCAATAATACGTACTTGAGAGCCAAATAGCAACTTACACAACTAATTAAGGATACAAGTTTTCAAATAGAAAAAAAAAAAATTAAAAATACATAAATTGATTATAAAATCAAACATAATCTTTTTTATATGAGATAGATTTCACTACATGTAAGTGTCATTGTATGAGTACGAAACATTCGTCGCACGCACACTCTTTGTGATCAAGTCTGAATTCTTTCAAACGGTGTCATATACTTAAAATCACAACTCAAGTGAGCTTACCGGCGAATGTGTGTTGGAAAACCTCTCTGATACTTAAGTTAGTTCTTAAAATCAATACGGGAAAAAACCTCTCAATCAATTCTGTAAATAAAATTGTATTACCTCGTTCTAGGTTAACTTTGAGCTTTTATGTCTTTCAAATGGTAGTCCTAGCAGGATTCTAATTCCTCTTCATAAAATCTCACTAGGAGTCATCTTCTTAAAGGATAAAGCTCATCCTTTAACACCCTTATCATCGAAGTCCAAGTGAAACGGCCTAACTCCCAAGCTGAACTGACACTAATTAGACCGCTAGTCTAGTTGCATGTCAGTTGTTTAATTGCACTGATTGAGTCTTACTAACTTCAGGTGAGACCACTGAGCAAAAACACTAACGCCGCACTGACCTTTCCTGGTGCACAACTCTGCCAAGTTCTCCATTTTGGTCAAAGACTAAGTTGGTCCTTTCAGTCCAGTCAATGTTATAGGGCCAATTATGCTAGGCCAAAGTGCACAGGCCGTTTGTCCGGTTGAAACTCCAGAGCTCGACACTAATATTCAAGTCAGCTAGTCATCAGGTCGGCCCAAAACTAAGGCCCATACTACTTTGGCCAGGCCCATTGGTTTGGTGTAAATTACCCTAGTCATATCCATGTAAAAGAATTGTGTCCTCTTCTGTGACTGATTTATCTACAAGTAGAAGAACTATTTTTTAATATGAAAATTACTTGACTGTATTTTAAACACACTCTATCTCAATAATTGTAGCTATGAAAAGTAATATAATAATATACACTATATCCTGATAATTGTAAGGGTAAACTACTAATAGATCATAATAGTCGGACTTAACTCCCATCAAGTCCTATTGAAAATAAGTTCTAGTAAAATCGTCGCTAAAAATAATTTTTTGTGACGATTTTTTACATGTCGCTAAAAATTGACAATTAGTGACTTTTTTTGCCACGACTTTCATAAATTGTCAATAAAATTTACAATTAGTGAAATTTTTTTGTGACGATTTTTTCAAATTGGAGCTGAAAGTTAAAAATTAGTGACTTTTTTTGACGATTTTTTTAAACTATTGCTAAAAATTATAATTAGTGACATTTTTTGTGACAAAAATTTCAAACTATCATTGAAAATTAACAATAAGTGACATTGTTTAATAGTGTTTGATGAAAAACTCCATTAGTCTTCACAAGACCCATTGAATAATAAGTTTACCTATTAGGACCTATACGTAAGTCCTTCAAGTTCTAAGTATGAGAGTTTGTGAGGTTATTTTTCTCTCATGTCACCTAGATTATTTGTTTTTTTTTTCTAATTAGAAAAATAAAAAATCTAATTGGGTGGTTAAAGGCCTTGAGATTTTCAGACTTACTATGACAACCAAACTTATTCATACATCATGTATATTTAATTGTTCATGCATTCATGTTATATGTTGTGTGCTTGTGTGACTTAGGGCATGCCAGTGATAGAATGAGGAAAGAAGAAGTGTGGAAGGTTATGCTAGAAATTTGTTTGGGTAAATTATATAAATGGACCTTGTAATTTACATGATGTGTCAATTTGGTTCAAGTTGTTTCAATTTACTCGATTTTGTCCCTTAATTTAACAAATTGTGTCATTTTAGTCCAATAAATAATAGTTGTTAAGTTTGGTGGACGGAAAGTCTACACAATGTGTCAATTTGGTCCATGTAGTTTACACAATATGTCAATTTTGTCCCTGTTGTTTTAATTTGCTCGATTTTGACAGGGACCAAATTAACACATTATGTAAACTACAGGGACCGAATTGATACATAGCTTGACTTTTCATCCACCAAACATAACAACCGCTATTTATTGGACTAAAATGACACAATTCATTAAATTAAGGGGCAAAATCTAGCAAATTGAAACAACATGGACCAAATTGACACATCATGTAAACTATAGGGCCTATTCGTATAATTTACCCAATTTGTTTTGTTATGTGTTTTGAGTTAGGGAAAGTTTAGAGTTTGATTTGAGAACCATAGGGTATGCTTAAACCTTAAGTGAGGAGCTTAAATACCTTAGTCTAAAAAACTTGACCATGTTATGCTATTTGCTAATTTGCTAATTTGGATTAGTGATGATTAAGTATGATTAATTAGCTTAAGTAGGATTAAACATAAGCTTGGTTAATTAGTTATAACCTAGATTAGTTAACCTAAGTAAGCAAGATTAGCTAGTTAATGATGTTGCAACCTTGCCTTAGCTACAAATAATAAAATCTTAAGTTCTACATCACAAAAATGAAAAAGAAGCTGGAGGAATCAAGAACTAACAAGACGAAAAGGAAAAAGAAGAAGAAAAGGAGAGGGGGGGGGAGGGGAAGGAGAAAATGGAGAAAATTCAAAGGAGCTAGAGATCCAAGCCTAAAAATCTTAAGAAAATTATTACAAGGTAAGAAACTTCCCTCTTCCATAATCCCATGGCAAAACCTAGCTAAAAATTGATTAGGATTAAGTTTTGGAAGATTGAAATGAAAAAGAAATAGGAAAGTTTGAAAACTAGAAAGAGCATGAAGTATTCATGGAAAAGCTATGTTTTGAATTAGTTTTATGTAAGATTTGAGTAAAACAATTGTTGTACTATGAACTTGCATCACTTATTCATCATTAGGGAGCTTTAGAACTTGATTTTGGAGGATTGAAAGCATTAAATAAAAGAAAGGTTTGAAAATATTTAAAACTTGAATTCAATCTATCTTTTACTTGTTTAATCCACAAATCAATGCATGTTCATGATTTTTTTCTTAGTTTTTCATCATATATATGTCTATTAGGATGCTATAGAACAAGTTTTGGGTTTTGAAAGCTTGGAAATTAAGTTTGGCAGCCCTAGAACAACGAAGAACAACTTCAGCTGCGACTGGGT